GATTCCGGGGTAGAATAGGTCTTCAGCAACCCATACTTGCCGGAAAAGGCGACTATGCTTGTCGTAAAAGGCAACTAACGGGATCGGGTGGTCAGGCTCGCTGACTTGGTTGATACATGTCATCGATCCCAATTGCGTGGATAGATGTTCATGCTGTCAATCACTGGATTGTCTGCTCCAGACTCGATTATTTACAGACCGCCGTCATATAGCTGGAATATTGCTGAGTGCGGCGTAAAACAACAAACCAAACCAAACCAATGCTAAAGACTCAGGAAAATCATGCTGATGGCATATCCTTGTTTAAATGTTTTGTTTTTTGTTGTTCAGTGCAGCACACACAAATATTCCAGCTGCAAAAGTGCATCCTGTACGTAATCGAGAGCGGACAGACAATCCAGTGATTGATATTGTGAGCAAGGACCTACACCGTCAGGTACAATGACAGCAATCAACCAAGTCCTGGGGGTAATTTCAATCAACTAGCCGTGGATTAGAACTGAAGTCAATGTTGAACACACACAAGACTTACATCATGTTTGAGATGTGTACCAAAATGGCAGGTGATAGTTGATTGGTTAGGGTACAGTTTGAGGTTAATGTTAAACAGAACAAACTGTCCCTTAGCCTTGCGGTTCACAATTTTATTTTCAATTTTATTTTCATATTCACATTCAATTTCATTTTCTGTTGTCATTGTGCAATTATCACTAAATTCATTCACTTATAAAACATCTGACAATTTTAGATTGACTTAAATATTATAAGTGAATTACATCTTTCTCAAAGTCGGCCTTATAAGAATACACACTTAAACCCAATCACTTCCATACAAATTCTATGTTTGTAACACTTGTTTTATTGTTTAATTGAAATAAATATATTACACCTCATATCATTTAAATATATGAATATAATCTTTAATTTAGCATGCAGTATCTTACAGTAAACATAAGCACGTGTTACAATTACATCAGTAAACAATGTCATATCAGTACCCACACATCACTTTTCTTATCATTGCCAATTGATAATGGCCATATACTGTAGATTGACACAGACAATATCTCATATCAGCTACTTCCTTGTCTCTCTATTGCTACCGCAAACAATTATATTGATGGCAACATATGACACTGTTATATACAACAGATTGTTCGAGAAATCGGCATCATAAATTACCCTGTAAACCATATGCTACATAATTTTGCTCAACTGGCCACAAACCGTACAACTTCGACAAGCAGTCATATAATTAGAATAAAATAAATTACAGTTTCAGAGGCTGGATTATTGGTTTTTATCAACATAATGGCTGGTTTCTGATATTTCAAAGAGCAATTATCTCTTTCAGTAAAAAATAAATAATCGGAAATTACATTTAATGTAAATTGATCCCGAACTACTAATAATCATTGATAAAATAAGTGATACAACCCATGATCAAATTGACACCTTTGAAGCAAAGATGGGAATAAGAAATAATAACACATCGAATTGACACCACTGAAGCAAGGACAGGAATAAGAAATAATAACACGCTGAACTGACACCTTTGAAAAAAAGATAGGAATGAGCAATAAAAACACATTGAACTGACACCTTTGAAGCAAAGATAGGAATACGAAATAATAACACATTGAATTGACACCACTGAAGCAAGGATAGGAATACAAAATAATAACCTATTGAACTGACACATTTGAGGAAAAAATAGAAATAAGCAATAATAACCCATCAAATTGACGCCTTTGAAGCAAAGATAGGAAAAAGCAATAATAACACATTGAATTGACACCTTCGTTAAAGAAGCTCTGAAATGTAAATATGCACTTGATAGTAAGTATATTGTGTCATCTACCGCCTTTTTGCCATATATATAGGATATTGTTGTATATCTTACTTACATACTGTCACATAACTGAAATTCTGTTTAAAGCATTAAACCAACCCAATCATGCATGTAGCATTGTTTATTAAATAAAGTAAACTACTTTAAACTGAAGATATTCTGGAACATCATATCATGATATTTATGTTACTTAGTAAATGTAACACTAATGATAATCATATTTTATATCATTGTTTACGACTAGCAATCATTATTATGTTAATACCTAAATGTCAGGGAGCATCTGGATTGGAATAAGGCGAGGCTATAATAAACTAATGTTCTTATCTATTACCTCACTAATACTAAGTATAGTACTGAGACAAAGAGACAAGCATCACAACATGTCACACAAAAAATACTTCCAATATAGAATCATATTTCCTTAGCTTCAGAGACCTGTGAAGATCCGGGTTAGAATTAGTCTTGAGCAACCATACTTGTTGTTAGAGGCGACTAACGGCATTGGGTGGTCAGGCTTGCTGACTAGAATGATGCATGTCATAGTATTCCTATTGCGGAGACTGATGCTCATGATGTCAATCAGTGGATTGTCTGGCTCTGACTTGATTATTTACAGACTGCTGTCATATAGCTGGAATATTGCTGAGTGTGGCATTAAACAACAAACAAACAAAAGCTTGGCTTCAGCAAAAAACAATTAAATATGGATCATAAGAGCAGATGTCCCCTTTCCTTCACTGTTGAGTCTTCTGTAGAACAATGTCTTACACCACGTCACATACTGTATAGCCTCTGTGTAAGACTGTCCTCTCTTGACACAGAGTATATAATTTGTATCCCTGTCTATACAGTATGCATCAATATTGCTGTAGTTTAATCATAATATCACATGCCTCACTGAATCTTTGGAGAGCGTAATTATATATAGCTATGAAAGCAGCAGTGATTGAATACATATATATCGACCCACTGGCAAAAAAAGAATATATAACATATAAAGTTTCATAATGGCGTATAGAAAATTGATCATTAGAATATTTCTCGTCAAATTCATATGATACTAACTTCACAATCATACTGTTTATTCTGTGCAGAAATAAAGTAATCAAAAATAGAAGTGATAGATAAAACGACATAAAATTGATGCTTGTGTTGTGTGCATTGTTGTGATTTCCTATTATGTTAAACAACATGAAGTTGTTTTGCACAGATTGATTCTCATGGATTGCTTGATCAATAAGATAGGTGAAATATTGAGCATTGTACATGCTGGGCACAAGTTTGCAATACATCGATACTGTGATGAACAGGGAATGATTTGTGACCTCAGGGAAATTACCACTTTTTACATATTTGTACATTTGTTTCGGAGGCACTCGTGAACATTGCCAAAAAGGCGTTCCTTCAAATCATATTCTAATCTTACTGCTGACTCTTAATAAAAGCATACAGCCATTCACTCTCCTTCACCAAATAATAAAAGACACAGAATATGACAGTGTCTTTCTTCTAACCATGCTGACCTGCTTGAACAGATACAGGCTGACATTCCTCCAACGAATGAACCACATCCATCACTATCACGACTACAACACTTCTACAAATCATGACCCACATCAATAATTTAAGTCATCACTTCTCTGCCTTGTCAATCTCAACTGACACAACATACATATTGTCAATATCAACAGTACTGTTATGCACTATTAACAAGCACCTGTATTTAATAGCTGTCAATGTTTCTCAATCTAGTCTGTTTTGCTATTCACCTAATTGAAAAAGCCCATTCGTCAGTATTGTGAAATTCTAGCCGTTGATCGTGATTCTGGCATGATTTCCCATACCCCAACAATACACTGGCAGTAAGTTTGGAGGCTGGTCAATATACACAATCAATATGAAACAGGTGGGAATGGGTCAAGTGATGATATTATGTTAACTAGCTGCCGGGGAGGTGTATTGGTGAAAGTGGCAACACTAACTAAGCATGCTGGCAAGCATTCATTGAAATGCATTTCAGAAATGCCCTGCTTTTCTCCCAACAGATTTCAAAAGATAGAAAAATGTACACTGTCGAAGGGAAATTGAACATAAAAAAGAAAATATTTGTATGTTTCTAACAAACATTCTGTAATAAGAAAAATATTTTATGTAATAAGAACTTAATAATATTTCAGATAACGATCTCCAAACGATATTTCGACAGTATTATATTATACCTACATTTAAACAAGTAATGAAACTGATCGTTACAAGAGAAATAATCCATTCTCAATTAATGACACTGTAGACTTGGCAGGATAGTTGTATGACATGTGTCTTAATGTATGTTTGACTCTTGTTCAGCTGTTAATATCAACAAACAAATGTTTATCTAACATGCTGCAAAATTCACAAATAAAAGGTTTAGATATGCTAGATTATTGTGCATGAACTAATTTCCATGGTATGTTTTGTTTATAAAAATAATGTTCCTGTTATTCAAACATTGCAGTTTCATCTTTAATACATCTTGAGTCTGTCAACCATTGCATAAAGAGACAGATAATGTCAAAGTACAGTAACATGTGTGACGACATTTCATTCAAATGATCCATTTTGAAACAAGAATTGTCATTTATAACCTACAAAACAAAAACTGCTAGTTATCAAATGCATCAACACCCACAACGATATGATGTCGTGATAGAAATTTAATATCAAATGCCAGTTGGCTTGTATGTGACTTGACTGGGCCCTGTAACACGTAAACAGCGTAAATGTGTGATAATATTTATGTTTATTATATTGACATTTGGAATTCGCTTGGTTCTCAGCGGCAGAGCTGACTTTCTCGTACTAACACCATCGGCATTTTTCTACACAAAAGAAACCTAATCATTTGATTTGTGAAGCTGAAAGAGAGTCAATGCTCAATGTCAAAGTAGATATAATTACAGGCAGACAGCGGTGCGGATCCCGTTACGCTTCCATAAGAACATTGATAGCAGTGCTGTCAATGGATCAGTGAACCTACCGTTATGCACAAACGTTCAAAAAAGGCGTGTCTTATGCTCCACGGGTCAGCGCGTGCTGGCTTGACCCACGTGAATAGCCAATCAACCGTGACTGTGTAAATAAACAATTAAGAAAGGCAAGTACTCACATCATCCCATTTGATAAACTTGTGTCCTTTGATCAGAATCTCCGGAACACGGATAGGCCTGAGCTGAACGACATGCACGCCGGGTTTGGCCCCCGCCATACTGTATTAGGCTATTTCACAAGCCCCTTTTCTTTCATTTCACAGCGATCTGACGGGCTTTCTATAGTAGATCACTAATAACGGTCGATCACCACTAGTTCGGAATCCTGTGAGAGGCGAGAGTGTGTTTTGACACAAGCCCACCACAGAGCGAGTATTCCTTTCCACAGAGAAAACCGACCTCACACAAGATTATAACTCCGTTCAAATGTTACTGATAAACTCCAAAACTATGATATACATCCATGCACAATGGCCTCTCGTGTGCAGCATCAAGAAGTAAACGCAAGCTTCCGTTGCAACCTCATCACTGAGAATCTACAGTTGGTTGCCGAGAGCTTACGATCTTCTCACTGTTGACAGGCCCTCGCCCGACTCGCACTGTTTCGCGGAATATGAAGGTGAGCGGTCATGTGACTTGATCAAAATGGCGCCTGGCTGTCATTGGCAGGTGGGGTTGGTACCGCTACTCAAGGCTATGCATATTGCATATACTGCAGCATGTGAGTAGCTCCTAATCGCCTGTAGCGTGCCATGGGCAGGTCTGATGAATTCACTCGTCAGTGGATATAATCAATTGGCACTATAACGCCTAGCAAACGGTCATAACCCCCCGATAGACACAGTAACACTCGCGTTGTTTGGTAATAAGTATTCTGTATGGAAAATTTGTCATAAAAAAAACACTGCTACCAAGAAGGGAACACCCATCCTGGTGTTAAGAAGAAGGAATAGCCAATTTTGCATATTTTCACACCATATCATTTTTTAAAATACATATGTAAATTTTCAATTTGCATTTAAAGGTAATCGCGATATTTCCACGTGCATAAAGAGACACCCGTTTTGATTTTTTTATGTGGACAATGGAAGTGAAAGTGAATCCTAAATTATACATTGTTTCACATCCTGACTGAAAACAATCAGGCTCCACATCTGACTCCTGGTATCACAAAATAGGCGACATGTATTTCCATTTTTTTAGGCTCAAACATTTGACAGATGGATCTATTTGACAGTGACTGATGATGTACGAAGAAAGCGTTAGGTTGCTGGAAGAATACAAGACAGCTATTTCACAAGCGGAAATGATGACTGATTACATTTGTATCTATTACATGTGTGCCTATGATAGGAAAATTACACGTTTTCGACCAGTCAGCAAAATACGGTTAAAACGACTTGCCATGGAGACAAGACCGGGCCCTGGCCTGTAACAGACACATGAGGATCTTGTGAGGGGCCCTTCATGTAATGTAGCTTCTACCCACATGGCTGGAAGCCCTCTTGCATTGTTTTGCCTGTTTGAAGTGTGTAAAAAGGAAATTCAGATAGTTCATACAGAAGACGATCTTGACGCTAGCGAAGTTCGATCTCCAGTTTCTGTATCGATTTTCAGAATGAACTCGACCAATGCATGTACTCATGTACTAAGGGGCGGTCGGATAGCCTCGTGGTTAAAGCGTTCCCTCGTCACGCCAAAAACCCGGGTTCCATTTCCAACATGGGTACAATGTGTGAAGCCCATTTGTGGTGTCCTCCGTCGTGATATTGCTAAAATATTACTACAAGCGGCATAAAATCTTCATCATTCACTCACTGTATGATAGAAATACCATTGGTAACAGTAACACACATTTATGAAAGCAACACTTTAGTAGTAATATATGTAATATACCACCACCACCACCACAACAACAACCACTACTACTACTACTACCACCCCCACCACCATCACCACTGCTAAGCCACATCTACAACAACTACTTCTACTACTACCATCACCATCACTGCTACTACCACTGATACTTCTACTATAAGAACTACTACTACTGCCACTTCTGCTTCTGCTACCACCACCACTACTCAGGGATCGACTACTACTACTACTACTACTACTACTACTACTACTACAATTTTGTTTGATGTTTAACGCCGCACTCAGCAATATTCCAACTATATGACGGCGGTCTGTATATAATCGAGTCTTGACCAGACAATCCAATGATTGACATCATTAGCATCGATCTACACAATTGGGGTATATTGACATGCATCAACCAAGTTAGCGAGCCTGACTACCCGATCTCGTTAGTCGCCTCTTTCGACAGGCACAGGTTGCTGAAGACCTATTCTCTACCCGGATCTTCACGGGTCACTACTACTACTACTACTACTACTACTACTACTACTACTACTGCCTTCACGGTGGGGTCATAACAGGCGACCAAATGGATCGGGTGGACAGGTTCGATGATTTGATTGATCGGGTGTCACCGTACACTGACGACGTAGGACATTGCTCATAATATCAATCACTGGTTTGTCCTGCTCAGACTCGATTATTTACAGGTCGCTGTCATGTAGCTAGAATATTGCTAAGGTACAACAAACAATCACAAACGTGTAATTCGTAAATATGGGAATGGGAGTTAACATTGTCAGTGTTTACTGTATCAAGTGTAAGCCCATGGATATATGACGTCTGCTTTAGGTTGTATCAAGTGGAGCCATATCGATTTCTGATAACTACCACCAACAGCCTATACAAAACCAGAATACTGTATATTGCTGGCCCGACAGGGCAATATATTACAAAGGGAGGTAAGTACTGTCAACGGTATTTTACGAACACTTCGAACAATCGTACAGTTAGTGATGCCACAATGTGCGTGTTTTCCAAGTAGTTTTGCCAATACGATTGCGAAATATGCCTTCGACATATCAAAAGAGTACATTATACGATCGCAAAGTAGATAAGCTTTAATACTGCACACGCCTGTCGTCACGTGTACTGGCGCTGAGACTCCAGCCTACAGCAAAGATCTGACGCCATATCTAAAGTGCACCTGCATTTCCCCAAACTCTATCCAGCGACACGTTGCACAGTTTCTGTCTATTGTTTGTTTGTTTGTTGCGGCTATTGGGATACGATGAATTACATCAACATAGTCAGCGAGCCTGACCACCCGATCCCGTTAGTCGCCTCTTACGATAATCATGAGTTGCTCAAGACCAATTCCAACCCGGATCTTCACATTTTTTTGTCCATTAATATCCTGTCTATAGATATCCTGTATATATAATGATATTTCTCACATTCTGCTTCAATCGGATCCTTCGCGATGTTAGGAATTTCCCGGCAGGATGTCCGGGTTGTGGAAGTAAATTGCGTTAAACTTCTTGTATGTGTATCGGATAACGTTCATGTTGTACATGAATTCACCTATAAACCGGTATTCCGAAAATCGGGGGACAGGGATGACCAAGTTGTTTAAAGTTGCTACAATTCGCTGTGCGGAGTTGCGCCCCTTAGGACTGCAAGGATCCTATGGACGTGAGTTCGAATCGTGATTATGATCCTTAATTTGCGAGCACCATAGCCGTGTCTCACCAAGGCGTCAAAGACCTGCATCACTGCGGACCTTCCCCTCACGTCAAGTTTAGATGCCGTGATATAACTTAAATAATGTAACCCACTCACTCACTTTACTCACTCACTCACTCACTCACACACTCACTCACTCACTCACTCACTCGGAGGTCCTATGGTCATTCCCTATTCACTTAGACTTTTCGGACACAGGTTGGATGCTCACAGACAGCGGATTTTGATTAGTGCGAATCTGCGATTCGAACCCATGATCAGTTCATCCTGCACGGATAAGGGAAATAACTCTGCACTGCAAACTGCGTCGCCGTGGACCACTTGGCCACCGTCTCCCTTGTGAGAAAGTGCATTGCATTCATGAAGATGTTTGCATAACTAGGTACGAATATGTATACGATGACGTTCAACAGATTCCCAAGTCCGACCATGAAGATCACTATGTTGTGTAATGGCAGTACGATTCTATTAATCATCCCCGGGAACAGCCCCAGTGCATATAAGCTATATAACAGGTCTAAGTAATTCTAACATATGGGCGTGTCCCATCCGGTCGATTTACCGGATCTGAGCATACGCCGATGCAGCTTCCTGAAGGGAATGTTTGCTGAATGTATTATTGAAACAAACGGATAAGACAATAGCTCATCGAGTGTATGAGACCCGCTCTTCACATTGACAGGATAACAATTACAAGTGCCAATTCCAGTGATTGTGTGAGTGAATGAGTGAATATTTTTTTTTTTTTTTTAAATTTTTAATTTTTTTTTACATCATTTATTCATTTTAATTGTCCACGATTTTAGAGTGAATAATTAATGTTGTTTTACGCCGCGGTCAGCAGCAATCCAGTTATATCACGCGACCTGTGAAAAATCGGGGAACCAATGGCTGGTAATCACACTCAGCGTACGATGGCACACTTGCAGCAAGGTCACACATTGTGACCACCCAATCCCCATTGTAGTTTTTGACAGTGGTGTTGCCTTGTGGATCACATGATGTACCAGGGACCGTAGTTTATATAGGACTCGGAAGTGGGCACTTTATGAAATGCACGTAGATTATGAAATGTAGATCATCACAGCTCGCACCGTCTGAATCTCATGATGCATAAGGGGCGGTCGGGTAGCCTTGTGGTTAAAGCGTTAGTTCGTCACGCCGAAGACCCGGGTTCGATTCCTGACATGGGCACAATGTGTGAAGCCCATTTCTGGTGTCCCCCGCCGTGAATTTGCTGGAATATTGCTAAAAGTGGCGTAAAACCATACTCACTCACTCATGATGCATAAAAAGGATGTAACTGAGAGGAAGTAAAAGTACTGTCAGAGACGTTCTTTTTTTATACACAGGTTGGAAATTAGATATGTCATTAGATATTTCGACAACGGTTTTTTCATATGAATATAAATATTCCACATTATGATTCATGATTCGCCAGAAAATGAATACAGAATATGATTTTAGAAATGGCGTATTTAAATATATAGTAACGGTATATATAGAAGTACTTCTGCACCCACCTGTGAAGATCCGGGCTAGAATAGGTCTTCAGCAGCCCATACTGACCGTAAAAGGCGAATATGCTTGTCGTAAGATGCGACTAACGGGATCGGCTGATCAGGCTCGGTTGAAGCATGTCATCGTATCTCATTTGTGTAGATCGATGCTCATGCTGTGAATCACTGGATTGACTAGTCCAGACTCGATTATTTACAGACCGCCGTCCTATAGCGGGAATATTGCTGAGTGCGGCGTTAAACAACAATCACACCTCCGCTCATCTACAGTCACTCAATCATCCACCCATGCTTGAAAGAAGCGAAAGTACTTCGCATATATGAAGAAGAGTTGTTTGGACATCGCGCAGTCTATAATGCCACCTTTTCTTCCTCTGGGAAGTGTGGCATTATCACCGGGGTAGCATTATAACCAGGGAGGTGAAAACCAAACCATAAGAATCAAAATATATACATTCAATCCTAGCTATTTATTCAAACAAGGGGCGGTCGGGTAGCCT